CAGTGGTCACTGCCTTGTAGGCACATTTCTTATTTGAGTAAACCTGCTGGGCTCACTTCTGGGCCCACTGAGATCAAGCACAGTTCAGTTCCCCTACATCCCCACCTAAGCAATTCCAGGGCCATAAAGAAATGTAAAGGTCAGGGAAAGGAATTTAAAGCACCACCACCCAATGCTAGGAATGTCCTTTATAACTCACCTCTATCCCAGTCGCTCCCACAAAAGAGAAAGGGTGACACTAGTGGAACAGCCCACTCCATTTTCAGAGGCTCAGGAAACAGAGCGCTTCCTTTTCATCAAAAGTTCAAGGATGCAATATCAAAATCTAACCATTATCCCATGCTAAAGTCAGGGCACCATTGTGGGTTGTCAAGATTTGGACAATGAGATGAGAGCTGAATGTCTTACTCAACTCATGACAGAGTCCAAAAATCAAGAAGCCAGGAAGAGAGGGTGGCAAAACAACGTGTGAAATCTCTCTCGGCACTGCATTCAGACTTTTATTCATTGGCTATTTGGCCCTCAGTGAAAGGCTGGACATGGGCTCCACTTCTTACTGTGGACAAGGAACATGATCTATAGACAGACCACAACAGAACGACTAAAACCTACAGGTCTAAACAATTCTAAGCTGACCCTCCTCTGGTTCAACCCAACAAAATACCTAGTGTGAGCTCTGGGACAAGTTAAATTTCACACACCCAGCAAAAGCCTCACTGCTCATTACAAACGTATAGAAGTTAACTGCCAAGACCATTCAAGAACGGTATTAAACTAACAGACGTATAAGATGTCAAGAGCCCCTTGTAGAGTCATTTTGAGATACTGAGGAACAAATACAAGTGGCACAGAAAGGGAACTTGGACAGTGCCATTTAGCAGCAGGGAAATGATAGTGATATAGGGAACAATCCCATCTTTGGCTCTCTCCAGCAGATCACAATGGCTTTCCATCCTAGCATGGAAGTGTGCATATCCATTGTAGTTCTGTTGAGCAGTAGTGCCCTGGTCTTGATTGGGAAAAGGAAAGACATCCATGCTGACACCCTTGGAAAAGACACAGGAGTAATTATTGGCTACATAGTGCTACAGTTTTAAGAAGGAAAGAAATGGAAACTTGAAAGTGATACCAAGGTTCCTGGTCCATTAGAGCCAGGGACTAAAACACTGCACTCCTCACCTCAATGCTAACAGATGATGGAGACCGAGGCAGAGGCCACACCCACAGTGCTAGGGTCAGGAGACAAGCCAAGAACAGGAAAGCAGGTTGTCCTCTTACACCACTTCTCCAAATAGCAATGGCTTATGTAACATTTCAGTGTAATAAAGATAATCCTGCATGATTTCCAAAGGTTTCTAATGCACATTTGAGTCCATGAGGACCACTGGAAGTTTGGCAGGACAGGTCTTGTGACCTCTATCTTATACGAAAGAGCCTGCAGCAATGAGGTTGAAATGATTTGTCCAGAGTCACAGAATTAAGCCAAGCTGGAACCTGAATCTGCCTCTGGAATCCCAGAGCAGGGCACTTCCTACTACCTCACTGGACAAGGCTCCTTTACTATTCCTTGCTCCTCAAGCAGAAATGGCAAGAAAGCACTTGCATGCAATGTCAATTCTCTACAGAGATGGTTCCACATTTTTAAAGAGGATAAGACTGCTGTGGTACTCAGTGTGCGAAAACACAGTGCAAACATTGCCAATGAAAGACCATCTTCCAACTACAAAGCAGAGGAACTGGAAGGACTCTCTTGATCTGTTACTGTTTGTGGTAACAGTCACAATACGTCGCCAAGTAAACTTTCAGTCCACATGACAAATGAAATTTAGTCCTGCAAGAACCGAGGACACAGCTGCTGATGCCACCTGCAATTAAGGGCGCATACCAACGATGAAATACAGAGAAACGTCTTGAAAATTCAGCTTGCTGGATTTCCAATAATTTATTAGAACATGGCTAGGGTTATTCTTCATGAAAAGAAGTGTTCAAAGCTGGTTATGGTGGCACCCATCTGTAATCTCAGAAGGCTGAGGCAGGAAGATTATCCTGAATTTGAGGCCAGCCTCAGTTACATAGCGAGTTCCATGCCAGCCTGGACTACACAGTAAGATGCTGCTTCGAAACAAAACAGAACAGTATATATTCCCTGTATAGTTTAAGTCAACAACAGTTAACTTTCCTTGTGGGGCGTGGTGGCACACACACCTTTAGTTCCAGTACTCGGGAGGCAGAGGCAGGAGGATGTCTGTGAGCTCAAGGCCAGCCTGTTCTAGAGAGCAAGTTCCGGGCCAGCTGGGGCTACAGGGAGACCCTGTCTCAAAAACAAAAAAAAAAAAAAAAAAAAAAAACACAAAAAACCAGTTAAATTTCCTGAATGCCTACTATGTACAAAACTGTTTGGAGCACTGAATGTAGACCATTCACTCAGTCCTCCCAACAACACTTTGAGAAACTATTAATATTGTATTGATTTTTCAGACACAAAACCTGAGGCACATTCACCACTCAATGCTGTGTCCATAACTTACAAGCAAATGACAGTCCCTGGCCCTCCACCTGCCAAAAAGGAATAAATGAACTGAGAAACCAGAAAATAAACAAAGCAGAACTTCCAAGGGATCAGAAACGGGGAATAATGAGAGAAGTAAACCTAATGAAAACAACTATTATGCTGTTACAAAGTCAAATCCTCTTTAGAAATAACTAGAAACTTCAGCCTTTGTAATCATCTGGCCACTGGTTAAAAATGTTACCTAGTGAGCCTTTAAGAGTCTCTGCTTTTCTCTTTATTTTGGAACCCTCAGGAAGAGCTAGAACCACACATTTTCAGTAGTTTCTAAAGTAAGTACATTTTATTAATCCCCCTCTTATTTTTCAGAAACCATGAAGACTGTTTTGAAAACACTGACCATAGAGTTCTCATCAATGCCACATTGTCAGAAAGTGTCCTTGTTCCTCAGATCTTGAGCGCTTCTTTCCTCTGGAACTATTTCAAAGGAACTAGAACCTTTACAAGTCACACAACACACAGAGTCATGATCATTCCAGATAACAGGCTCACAGTACAAACCAGGGTACAAGAAGAGAAACGCCTGTGTAAGGTAGGCTGACCATCCAGCAAACAGGAGTCTGAAGTCACCAAACAATACTGACTTCACCAGAGCCCTCTGCAGTTCCGGGGAGCTATCTAACCAGAGAAACCACAAGCAACTTGAAAACCATTTCTCTGAGTGTCTGAAATCAGTTACTACTTGTGCTTAAGGAGGGGGAGGGGAATGAAAAATGAGGCTGTGATGAATTTACCTAAGAGGTACCTGTGGGAGAAATGAAGATGCCATAGACTCTCTTGGATTCAGACAGAGTTCATTTTCAATGTATTTTTTATTGGAGTAATAGAAGCTGACTCTCAAAAACTAGAAATTCAAAGTGATACCCAAAGCACTCTCAATTATTTTACTGTCACTGTACAGTTTCCAAGTCCTAGGAGTTCTATTTCTTTTTTACAGTGCTCACCTCTGCTGGAAATTAAATCACTGCTTTTTTCCATTTGGTTTGACACCTACATGAACTCCATAAGGCCTTGAGTGCTGTTGCCCTGGCTGTCTTCTTGGTCTTAGAAGACACAGCATGGACAATTGCCCTTTAAACATGGTTTAATGAATGAATGGAACCTCCGGAAACTTGATAAACTTAAGTCAGAGCTCTAAGGTAAGGAGACCAATCATCTGACAAAAGCAGCAGTATCTATAATCCCAAATGAGTACTGGCCACTTTCAACCTCCTCCAGGAGGATGGAAGCTTTTAAAGCTAGATTTGATTTTGTAAAATGCCCTGAAGTCACTCTGAGCCAAATCTGAAAAACACACAGATTCTGCCAGGTATGTTATGAACGAAAGTCAACTGCGTCTGCTGGGTAGGCCTGATTGTCCCATTTGGCTAGTGAACTAGTTTTGAAGGTAATCCAAAACGGCTGAAACTGTAGCAAACCTTCCGATTCTGCATCGGTACTCTAAGGTGGACACCTGGACAGAAGTGAGCGGCGGGAAGAGGAACCTAGACTACACAGATACCAAGACTCCTCCACAGACGTGCCTTGTCACATCAGTTTTGCTATTAAGTTGCCTGAAAGCCCGTGTCACATTAGCCTCCCTGGGCCTCAATTCCCCCATTCAGAAAACAAATGATCGTCAAGGTCCTGGTCAATTCTAAAATGTTCTAATTCCACTCTTCGAAGATCCAGTTTAAAACTAGTCACAATCCCTCAAGTCCCATCCCTTCTACGAGTCCATAAAGCGCACAATATTATTTTTTGCAGGAGATTAACTTCATTTTTGCTTAGGCAAATACTAAAATTAGTTTTCACTTCCTGAGCCCAGCAAAAGACAGTTAAGGGAGGCAACCCGGCCAAGGGCGCTTGCTAGTGACTGTGCATACTTCCGACTGCGTATGGGGGAACTAGCCGTTCCTTCTCAGATCTTCCCTCAACTATTGCAAAGGCAGATAAGCCCCCAGTGTGGGACAGAGACGCTGGCCCAGAGCGACGATGAAGGGTCCGTGACCAGTGCCGGGGTGCGGCCACTCGGCGGGGCCAAGGGGATGCGGCGGGTGCCCGCCTGGAGCTGAGCGGAGGGCCAGGGCGACGACCGGCCGTGGCGTGTCGCCACCCTGGGACGGAGAAGCAAAGTACAGGCAGCGGCTGGGATATCCCGCAGCCCGCCCCACCACCCCCAATCCCAGTCCCGACCTTCGCCCGTCGCCAGCTGGGACCTAGGGGACGAGAACCGGGGAGAAACCAGAGGCACCTGCCCGGGGCTGCCCGGCCGCAGCCCTGCGCCGCGGGGACAGCGGAGGCGCGCCGGGGACCCCACCCCCTACGGGGGCGGCCAGACCCCGCGCGACCCGCCAGTCCCGGGAGTCCCCACTTCTTCCTTCCGACTCCCCCATCCCGGGTCCCCCCAGCGCCCGGCTCCCACCCAGGCCAGCCAACAACGCGCACCCACCTCGGGATCCAGGCGCCACCGCCGTTGCCAGGCTGCTCGGCTCCCTGGCCCCGCTCCACCCCCTCCACTCCCGCCCCGCCCCCAAGGCCGCCCCGCCCCTGCCGCCGCCGGACGCCCTCCTCCCCACGCTGTTTGGGCTAGTCGGGACACGTGATGGAGGCGGGGCTGGAGGAAGGCTCTGGGTGGACCTAGGTAGGCTCTCCCGAGGGCCAGGCTCTTAGCCCACGAGGCTGCTGGGAAGCCCTCTTTGAAGCGTCCGGAGCGTAAAGGCGTCTGGGAATTGTAGTTCTCAATATGGTGCCTGGAATGGGCAGGGCCAAGATGCCAGGAGCCACCCCTCTAAGGGAAGTCTGACTCATACACCCCTGCGGAAGCCAGTGGAAAGCATAGTCCTGGGACTTTGGTACTGATTCTCACCATGTCTCTCCAATTAAGGGGAAATCTACAGGGAAAAGTGTGCCAGATAAAATTGTAGCAGATGCCACAAACTTGAACTATTGATCACATGAAGCTGAGATACCATAAAGAAAACAAAAAAATAGCAATGATTATGCTGAAGCATTTGCATTTCACAAACTCACAATATGATAGCTAGAGGTGTGCCTCACGCTGTGCCAGCACTTTCCAAGAACACACTGACCCAGTAGAAGGAAACAGATCAGAATTCCTTCTGCTTTCTGAGCTTTGAGTCAGATGACTTCTGATACAGTAAATAGAGAAAGCAATGGGGAGGAGACAAATTTAAGAAAACAATGCAATGCTTAATCAAATAAACAACCTGGCACGCAGAAGAAGGTGCATAGTGTCTCTTGTGTCACATAATATTTATACATGAGCACTTCAAGTACTTAGCATTACTTCATCAGGATCTCCCTTGGCTCTTCTATTTGTTGGCTCGCCAACATCTAAAAACAGTTGCTTTGCATGTTATCAGTCAAAACTGCATGCATATATTCCTATATGATAGACTACCCCCATCCCATCTTCTTTCTGTACTTCCACTTATCCACTGTTTAACTGTGATCTAAAAGTATTCAATGGAAAATTCCAGAAATAAACAATTCATATTTTAAATTTCACACCATTCAGAGGTGATGAAATCTCTCACAATGTGATTCCATCCCCCCCTGGGCATGAATCATCCCTTTGTCCAGCATGTCCATCCTGTATGTACCCTTCCTACCTATTAGTCATTGGTTGCTGTCTTGCTTGTCAGGTTGGCTGTCATGGTTCTGCACTACATGTGTTCAACTAAAACTTATTCCATTGAATAATGACCTCAAAACTCAAGAGGAGTACAGTTTTATTCTATCTTATTCCTAGCTGTTGTTGTCTGCTAATTCATGAATTCAACTTTTTCAGATGTATAAACAATACACACTTGGTACTATTAATGTCTTCAAGTATCTTCTGTGGGATTCTGGGAACTACAGCTCTCGGCGATAAAGGACACCACTACTCTGTGTGTGTGTGTGTGTGTGTGTGTGTGTGTGTGTGTGTGTGAGTGTGTGTGTGCATGTGTGTATGTATGTGTGTGAGATGATTCCAGACTTCTTAGATAAGTACCAAGATCCAAGTGAATGCAACCCAAACCACTCTTCAGCCACTTCTCTCCTGCTTCTCTCTCTCTCTCTGCTCTCCAAGTTCTGATCTACTGAACTTCTTCCTATTCTCTGGATATTTCCAGGTTCTTTCTCTTCTCTGGCCCTCTCCACTAATTCCTCTTTCCGAGATTGGACAAACTCCTGGATGGACAGAGAGCAGAATAGCACTTGTTTCTGAGGCTGATAGACTTCGAAGCTTCCCCAGAGGCCTTTTCATTGTACTGATGTCATCAGTTGCTTGAGTGTCTGCCCTGCCAGCTCCCCTTCCCAGACTGTGAAGTTCTTTGAATTACATTCACATTTGTGCTGTATTTCAAAGCATCCTCATTAAACTTGCATGCTGGAGAGGCTCCCTGGTGGCTACTGAATAACTGGATTCCCAATGTCTGTCAATCATGGGGGCAGAGGGGTAAAAGATAATAGGATGGAGGAAGGAAGGAAGCGGCTTTGTGAAGACTTTGTATACATTAGGCATGCTTTAAATGTCCAAAAATGAGGCTTAAGCCCCTTGCTCAAGCTGGGTGCCAGGAATGCGGAGACTGCAGGTGGACCTCATTGCAAGGACAGCCTCAGTAGGGATTTCTCCAGAGTCCCCCTGGGTCCATCCCCAGCCCAACCTCACCTGTGGTAGGATATAAACTAAGGAGAAAGGAGCAGTAAAGAAGACTTGCCTCTAGGCTAGGAAATGAAGACGGTGACCCCTGCTGCGCCTTCCTCATAGTGAAGTGCAGCTCCAAGAAGCACACAGATTTGGCAGCCATTTGAAAAGTGTAAGGATTGTGCCTTACAGAGAAGTTGCCACCTACCCCTTGGTGAAATCACCATATTCTTATCCAAGTCCTGTCCTTGTTCTGAATGGGGCTGAACCTTAAAGTGTGTGTGTGTGGGGGGGGTGTGAACCATTCAGGCTGCCCTTCATTTTATACATGGATACATACACACTCCCCCAAAAGCAGGGGGATTGTGGTGAAATGGCTGGCCTAATAGTCTGGGGCACTTGGAATAGGGATGGGTGAGCAAAGGATGTGACATGAGATGCCTTCCAACAACCTTTCAGAGCTGCATGTCCTATACCTAGTGTACATCTGTCTGTGCACGCTCCTCACAGTTCTTGTTTTTCCTAAGATTCAGGCTGAGGCACTTCCCACCCTCTGGCCTCCACCCTATTCACTGAAGTTGGGAGAGTGCACTAGGCAGGGCCAGGAGGGGCCTGTGAGGGTCCCTAGGCTCCTATGTCCCAGTTCCTATTTATTTCCTGCCCTCCATGGGTCAAAGTAGAAGAAAAGAAGTGGCATTCTGATGAAGGACTGGGCAAGAATGTGCCTGTGGAGTTTGGAGCCCACAATGCGCTCGGAATCAAGAAGTGGTACTGGTCCCGGCAATTCTATAGGCAAACTGCTGATCTTGAGAAAGCCACTTTACCCCTCAAATGACTAACTGCTTCCTCTGAAAAAGGTCCAGAGTCATTGTGTCCCTGCATAGCCAGGATAAATAAAAATGTGTCAAGATGGTAGTCTTCCAAAGCTAGCAGGATGGTCATGGGAGAAGAGAGGGGGCTGAGTATCAAGGGCTCAAGTCCTAGCTTGTCAGTTTGTTAGGCATGTGATTCTGGGCAAGTACTGCTTGATAAACCTCCATTCCCTCAGCTGTCAAGTGAGAGTATTGATCTACTGGGGTTACAGGCATGTGCCACCATGCCCAGCTTTCAATTTAGATTGTTGGCTATATAGGGAGTTTGAAGCCAGCCTTGGCCACATGAAACCATGTCTCAAAAACCCAAAACAAATGTCATAATAAACCCATTATTTAGTATGCTAACTAAAAAATTCAATAGAAACAATAAACACCTCTAGTTTCCATTGTTAGTGAATGGCTAAATAAATAGCAATGCATGCACATAGTAGAATATTATTCAGCAATAGAAAGAAGAAGTTATGATATATACTACGATAGGAATAAATCAGAAATACTTGCTAAGTAAAATAAACTATATAGAAATTATTGTATACTATACTACCTCATTTATATTATAGTTTGTACCTACAGTACTGACCAACAAATCCAGAGTCTCAGAATGCTGGGCAAGCATTCAGCTATACCTCCTGGTCTCTTATGACATCTTGGAAAAACACAAAACTATAGTGATAGAAAGTGGATTTGTAATTGATTAGGGTCCAGGTCAAGCCAGAGGTATGGGAGAGAACTAAAAGTCAACAGGAGAGTTTAGAGAGTGTTAGAAAATGCTGTGTCCTGATTATGATGGAAATTATGAAGCTGTGTACAAATGCTCAAACTATAAATATGACAAGCGTGTGTGAATTTAACTGTAGATAGATAACTTGTATTTCAATAAAATTGAGATTAAAGTGTTGGGGAGAATGAGGGCACCTGGAAGAGCAAAGCTTGCCCCACATACATGAGCGCCATACAGTGGGTGCAGGTGTGTCTCACGTGCAGATGAGAGTGCTGTTGCTGCTGGTATTTCACTTGCTCCTGCTTTCTCACAGAATTCCAAGTTGAGATGGAGCCTTCTTGGGGAGGCCTCGCTGGTCAACCAGCTCTGTTTCCCCAGGTGTTGGATGGGAGTTTAAACCAATTAATGGGATCTGAAAACATTCACACAGAGACAAATCTAGACTCTTTGTTCCCAGAGATTCTTGGACAGAAGGTTATGACATCACACTGTTTCCAAGGAAACATCACTAGACAGGTGTGTTCACAGTAAAGGGTGGAATGTGGGGTCAGGGACATGACTATGAGGTCTAGTCCACAAAGCAGCATGTTAAAAAAAATTTCCCCAAAGTTCAGTCACAGAACAAACCAAAGCCACTACAAAGAAATGTCACAAGATTCCTCTTCCTTAAGGGATGTTTTATTCAGTGCTGTTGATCAAACCCAGCATCTCACAAATGCTCTATCCAAGGCTCTCCTGCTGAGCTATCTGCCCAATCCTTCATATTGTGAGACAAGGTCTTTTTTTCTTTCTTTTTTTTTTTCTTCTGAAAATCAAACATTTTTTTAACCTTAAAAGCAGCACATATTCGCTTCAGAAAACATAGTAAAATAGTTAAAAATAAAATATAGTTCACCCACATATTCACTTAATGGAGAAAGCATTTAGTTAGAATAGTTTTTGCTCAATTTTTATAATTTAAATTTTTTGAGTATTTCATACATAAATACTGTCTTTACATCATTTCCGCCCCTCCCTAACATGTTCCAACTCCTCCAATGTTCCCCTCACTCACTCTCAATATCCCAACCACTTCTTTAATTACTATTGTTACATATATTCATATATGTGCATATATATACATATATATATATATATATATATATATATATATATATATATAAGTAATGAGTGCATTTAGGGATGCTAATGTTTAGGGATGACCACTCAGTTTTGGATAACCTATCAGGGAATTCATCCCT